TTGGCAGAGCGTATGGACTGTTGTTGTTTGAACTTCTCATGTATTGTGTCAATATTTGGTTGTATTTTGATTAACCGTCTATAGATACGGTCCATCTCTTTATCAGTTAGATCATCCCAGGGAAGGAAAGGAAGTTCATCATTTATGTCGTCGAGGTCATCTTCCTGTTCTTTCTTCGATTCCCTTTCTGGCCTGAAATACTTAAATGGTAACTGTTTTCCCTTCCCTGCTGACACTGGTCTTCTTTCCTTCTGTGTAGTTTTCTTTGCATCAGCATCCCATTCGTCTTTCCCAAATAATCCAATGTGGTCACCTGTGTTTTTCCACAGCTGGATATTGCAGTCCAACCCTGCAGTAATAATTTTTTGACAATCAGAATCAAACTGAACACTCACCACCCCTGAGAGGTGAGATTGCCAGGTGCCCAAACGAGGAGGTGGACACAATGACACGCGCCACCCTCTTATGTCTTCGAATGGCCCTGTGTTTGCCTTATCTTTAAATCCAAATCTCTGAATGTCCCATTGACAAATCCTGCCGGTACTATCCCCAGTCAGCAATATTTGTTCATTGACATCAGTGGACATCGAGGTAATGATTGCATCTTCATCATTCACTGCCCTGAACTTCCCTAACAAACCTCCCTTGCTTTTTACCGACCAGGCACTTATAAAGCCATCAGCAGAAGTCAGCAGTGTGGCTGTGTGCACATTGACCTCCCTTGTCTTTAAACATAAAACAATAGGACCAGTGTTCACATCAGTGTTTTTCCTCCCAGTTTCTTCTTTGTGTGTCTTCCCATCAGGCAAACACACTGTCCTGCCTGCTATTGTTGTAATGTAAGTTCGAGGGCTCTGACTGCCATTCAGCCAGTAGAGAACCTCCCTAGATTCAACATCCCACATTACAATATTTCCATTGCAAGAGGCCGCAAGAAGTGTTGTGTCGTGCACATCCATTGAGCAAATGTCATCTAAATAATCATGTTCCAAAAATACGTTGTCATAACCCTCCAAATCCACGACAAAAATTCTGTTGGAGTTCCTTCCCGACACAAACACACTATCGTCCATGCAGACAATACCTGTCACCTCACTTGGCAAGGTAACAGGAAATTCTTCAAGCAAAACTCCAGTGATAAGGTTCCACAGTTTTAATTTCCCGTCCTTGGAAACTGTGATTAGTCTCCGCTGTGGTATATCAAATGCAATGGCAGTGTGCCCCCCATATGGAGTCACCTGAAACTGCATGACAGCCATTCCTGTTAAGACATCCCAAAGTGTAACCTCACCTTTTTGACAAACAGAGACAACCTTTTTGTAAATGCTGTGATAGAGAGCATTGCACAGGGGCTTGTCATGGGATGTTAATGTTTCTTTAAAAACATCTGTTCCCCTACCAAAATATTTGACTAGATCTGTGTTAGCCAGAACTAAATCATTGTTAAGTATGTTGTAAAACATACTGGAGATACGAGCTGGTCTCATGCCTTGAATCTCGATGCTTTGCCTACACTCCAATCTCTTCAAAGACCAAACACGAACATTTTTGTCATCAGATAAAGTGATGACAGTTCGGTCCATTCTGTTTACGACAATGTTTGTAATGGGCCTGACGTGTCCCACCAAAGACTTTTGGCAGGTGTCTATTTTGTGGGGTAACCACAACCGTAGTAAGCCATCTGTACCACCAGTCAACAATAACTCAGCAGAAGGAGAGTATTCAACACAGGTGAAAAACTCCTCATCTCCACTGCTCTTAAAGATTGATTTTGAAAAAGTGGTTCTGGGTGGGTTTGGTAGGGCAGCAAGGACCATTGTCTTGGATAAACTTCCACAAATGGCAAATGAGTTAAGAACCGGAAAGTATTGGATCTGGCTGCATATGTCACTAAAAATGGAGACTTTAAGACAAAGAAAGTCTTGGGAATGGTTGTTTAGAAGGTTGGAAATGTATACTGTAGGATAATCATGCAGAGAGATTTTTTCAAATGCGTCACGGTTGAAGAGGCCATTTTTCTTTACGTTGTAGGAGATGAAAACAGTCAAAAACCCTTTTACATCACCAAATGAAAACATTGCTTTAGTGCCATTTGACCAGTAGTTAATGGTGTTGACAATGCTTTCCTCTAGAATCAGAGAGTGGTTAACTGAAAAAAGCGAGGGTATTTCAGAGCAGTCATAAAATAAAAGCTCTCTGTCAGAGGTGGAGATAGCCAGCTGTTTCAATTCTTGAATGTACTGGATGTCATTAACAGACATTTTCTTGTGGTGTGAAAAAGGAAGTGCATTTTCTTTCACATATAGAGGTATGGTGAATGGATCGGTACAGCTGTCCGTCCAGAAGGTGAGTACACCATCGGAGCTGACAGAGATGTATTGGCCTCTCTGGTAAGTTCTGGTTTCGTCTAAATTTCGGAAACTAAAATGAGGTTTGACGTCCTCGAAGGGACGGAAGATCACACCAACAATTTCTTTATAGTGACCCACAGGTATAAATTCAACAGGTTTAGGGAATGGTCTTTTAAAGTCCAACCCTGCCGATGCATTGCCCTTAGCTATTAAGAAGTCTAAAAGCTCTACCAGATCAACTGTACCGTCACAGTTGGTATCTATCTGCATATGTAGGACTGTAAGTTCCTTCTTCTTAACAGAAGGGTACATCTTTTTAAACAAAACACAAAATTCTTCCATATCCAAACCTCCACCACCATCTTCATCTGCCTCCTCAAATAATGCAACAATTTCAGGTATTTGTTGCGCAGAAAACATTCTGCTGCAGGCATTTCCTTCAGCAATTGTAGCATTCTCATCTAGGTCCTCCTCTGCTGAATTTGCGTAACTTGCCATTACTACTTCGATTGAAATCAATTAAACACTTAAATGTGTAATGAGTGTAGGTGAGTTTTTTTCAAATTAGTCAAATGTGTAGCTCTGGATCTGTTGTAGGCCTATAATGTTACTTTTCAACTGGTATTATAAAGTATATTAACCTGGCTATATTCAAAAAAGCATGTATGTCCTCCAAAACGCGACCTTCTCACGAGTCTCAAGTCACGAAATGCAGCAGTTAACCTCGCATAACCTCGGAATTCAGCATAAAAATCGTGAAAATCATATTTCGCAATGATCAGTTCGATGACCTCAGGACATTCCATTCCAAACGATGAGTGAATGACTAATGGAAAGAAAAAAAAAATCCCATGCTGTTACCTAGCAACGGAATTCTGTTGATAAATAGTTCAACATAATTGCGTTGCTAGGTAACGGCATGGGTTAAGACCACATAAAGTTTACCTGTACTACCAGGTTTGCAATACACAATTTATTTGTTAGCTAGATGCAATTTAACTCAAATATATAATCAAGGAGCGCCTAGTTAGCCGAGTGGTTACAGCACATGTGGGACCATGTTCCATGTCATTCCTTTTTTCCAGATTTCTACCCTGTCCTCTGTTAAAATTAGAGTGAAAAAGTGCCCAGAAAATGATCAAATAAGTAGACATTTAATTATTTTCAAGGCTTACAAGCAAACTTAAAGACATCAATTAGAACAATTACAGTGATTACAGTGTGGATGGAAGACGTTTGTCACACAAAACGGGCATTTTTACATTTATCTGAAAAGCTTTGGCTAGGGGACAGTTAAAAAAGAAGAAGTACAAAGTCACACGAAGGGCATGTGGGAATAAAAGAGAAAGCAGAGGGAAAGAAAGGAGCAGTGGGGTGTTTTGCTATCACCAATAGTAGAGGGATATTTCCTCAGCCCGGGGCGCTAATCCGGCTAGCATTAGCATTTTCATGAGTCCTGTGTCCGGGGCTTGGTAGAGCATGTCACTGCCTCATTTGGTTACTTGTGTACACACTCAGACTAGCACACACACACACTCTTTTTCAATACCCCAACCCTGTCGAAAACACAATCGCTCGCAGCCCCGTTGGTGTATGTGTGTGTTTATGCGTCATGCACACCCATATCGCGCTCTGAGCAATACAACCGAGCCGGGGACTGCTGGCAGCACTTCCCCTTATCTTTCAAAGTACTTCTCATTCCTTCTTTAAAATGAATTTCTCCTCTTCACTGCTTTCCAGCCTGAGTTTCTTATGAATTATAAGCGTCTTGCTTGTTATTATGTAACCTTCTGCAGCCTAAGTGAACAAAACTCCATAATCCAAACTGCAATTTTTTAAAAACGACTTACCACATGACCGCGGAGGCCGTCATTTAAAAAAAAAAAAACAATTCATTAACTTAACTTTAATGCTTAATTCTTCCATTTAGTATTACTAAAATGTGCTTATACTGCAGCTTGTGTTTGGCACTTGTAGTGAGAAAGCAGACCTTCGATTTGTGGCTGTCACATCCCGTCCAAGCCTCAATTAAATAGTGTTTGCTTCACAAAAGGTTCAGAGGTAGTGTGTTTATTATCTACTGCCTCCAGTAATGACAGGGGTGCATAGTCAGTGGGATTTTTGCTAATGGCCTATACTGTAAGTTAAAGCAAAAGCAACACAAAGCAGTGCACTCTCCTTCACATGGGTGACGTTTATTTGGCTATTGAAATGTCTATTTTCTTTCTGGCACCGAGCACCACTCTGTGTGTGCACAACACATCTCCGAAGGGAACCAGAAGTCAATGAAATCAGTCATCTGTGGTCAAACAAACGCATTATCATTGCTCAAGGGTTGGCATCCTCCAAGAGATGCCTCAACACTCTTAGTCCTTATTTTTCATTGCCAAGTAATTGTCAATCTGTGTGGGAAAAGGATCTTAGATTTGTCCCTGAACTTTGCTCACAGTGTTGTTTGGTAACTCTTAAGAAAAGTGAACATTTCTAAGATTTTTCTTTAAGTGTACCCTTTGAACCAAGCTCAGAAACTAAATCAAAGCCTTTAAAAACCTCCTCAGAAAATACACATGCTCCCTCATGTACAAGCTTTTCTTGTATTAAGGTGTTACAAACATCCAATACCACAACATGATACGCCATCTATCTTACCTATACTGGACTCCTCAAAAGAAATGGTGGTGGAGGCTTTCCCCAAGGCGTTGACTGATGTCACGTTCACTTTGTACGGGAAGCTGGAGAAGACCTCGGGAAAACGAACACGACAGCGATTCTTGTGGTCCGGATCTTGCTGTACCTCCAGTGATCGGTGGTTGTGTCTGGAGAGGAGAGGGAATTCAAAGGGTAAGAGGAGAGAAAAATAAGGACTGACGTGAGAGAGACAGATGGTTTACTTCTGGGTTTTTATAAGCTTGTGAGTTTTCAGCTTGAAGGAAGCTTCATACACTTTGGTGTGGAAGGGCAAACAGAGAATAGTTCACGTTTTTAAGAAGAGTGGGTGTTCTCCATCAAAGCTGTGGGCATCATTTAGAATTCCAACACTAAAACACTCTGACTATACTTCCTGCTTTACAGACCAGGACAGGACTTTAGTTTGGAATCCAGCCAGTACTTTACTTTTTGTACATTTCTTCGATGGTTTGTAGGCCTACATGTGCCAAGGTCTAAAGACATTGGTCTAAAGACATCATTACCTACTGAAATGAATGTTATTATGTGAAGTTTTAACTTGCACAATCACACAAAATAGTCGAATATTTAACCATTTTGGTTTAATTCAGGAGCCCTGACGCAAGACTGTTTACAATTACAATCATAGATGTTCTCTTGGGGTAAAAAGGACAGAAATGGCTGTTCAGTGAAACATGGAGCTGAGTGGCTGACCGGCTCATTATTATTCAAACATAATTATGTTGGTGTTACAATATTAACGAAGGCAGAGTCCACCTGCTGTGGCGTGAGCTGTGGGACTCTGTGATCTGTGAATATCAAAGAGAAGCTGATGGAGACAGCTATACCGGGTCTCCATCCACACATTTTGTGTGAGTATCTGAGGTCCAGCTACTGTTAAATCCTGCCTGGACATGGGAGAGAGGTGTCACTTTTTTTATAACACCCTCCTTCTTATCTCAAAATTGATCTTTCTCGTTGGGCATTTTTGGTCTTTTAATTTAAAATGTTGCCTCTAAGCCAGGTTTTTTTAAATGTTTTTCAAGCCAAGGCGCGTTTAGCTAAAAAGAAAGATGGAGCAGAGACCCCCTACTGTTTTTATATAAAATTAAGCTGCATAGTAAACTTAGCCTATACTAATGTGTAGGGCAACTGTAAGCATTGCGTAATAACCTACATTTTATGGTGCCTAGAAAACCAAGCCATTAAAATAAAAGCTAACTAGCATAACAGACCATTAGCAAAGGTAAGCTAGCTCACGTGATTGAAAGAGGACAATGTGTGAATTAAATGCTGTTCTTCAATCACTTAACTAAGCTAGTTCTTGCATGTCATACCGATATATCGAGACATATAATGTATATGTAAATCCACACAAAGACATGAATCCTATGCACTTACTGCACGTCCACTTCGAAGGTCGTGGGGATGAACGTTTGGTGGAGCTGGTGCCAGCTGCAGTAGAAGCCTTTGGGGTAGGTGTTGGACCGACAGGTGACTGTGGGCTCTCGGGGGGGAACTACAGAGAGGACAAAACAAGAAGGGGAGGACAGTTAGCTAACAAATACAGCACAGTATAATTGAGAAGACACAGGAAGACAAGCAGAGACGTATCAGAGTAATGCAGATCACAGGAATCAAATGCAAAGCAGCTGTTGCTAATTACACATTTCCTCATTGAATTATTTATTCATCAAAAAAGTCATCATGAACGTCCCAGCTACTCCACCACCGCCACTTTAATTAAGCTCTGGTTATGTTTTGTTAGATATACGTTTCATTTGTTTGTGTTTTGATTGCCTGTATGCTCTGTGCATTTGTTTTTAATGAATCTTAATTATTTTTAATTACACAAATGAATGGAAGTTAGATTCAAAGAGGGGGATGAATTAAGCAGTGTGAACCCGAGGGGGAACATATATTAAATGGTCAGAATATACCTAATTTGTCTGAGTATTGGGCGTCTGACAGAGAGGAGTATTGGAATATTTGTGACCAACGGAAAGCAATTTCTGTCACGATTCAATCTAATTTAAACTATTTGGGCAAAATGAAAATGAGCAGAACAGATCTGGAGAAATGGGAGAGAAAGAGGAAGGGAGGGAGGGAGGTTAGATGGTGCGTTTAGAAAGAAAGGATATTGGAGTGGTAGAGCAAAAGAAGAATAAAAGAGGATGGCACGAAAAAGTGATGTTAAGCCAACTGTGGCCTCCTCCAAGATTAGGGTATTTTCTTTGTGGCTAGTCAACCGCGTACCCGTCTACCACTCCCTCTTTCTCCCCATACCGTCTCACCCTTTAACCCTGGTTATCTCTGCTGCATGTGACAGACAGTGAGGGTACAGTGTTGCATCCCACAATGTGTATATGTACTTAAAAATCATTTTCCAACGCTAATATTTTTTCTGTTCCCTAATACTCTTTTCTTTTATTGATTGCAAACAAATTGCATTTTACTTTACACAGTATATCGCTTTGATTATATATAGGGGGCTGGCTTTGGACTTCTATGATTAAATATTGGATATCGGCCAGTGAGTAATATATACTCCTGATGTGATTGGTTGACTGATAACAGCTATTCACATAATGTAATCTTTATTTATAGTCAGTAATGTACACCACAGTTGAATGGGTGGGGTGGGTCATCCTTTCTTTAAAAAGCCACATACCCATTCAGTGTGAACATGGGAAAAACTGCTGCTCTTTAGAGCGGGCTTTGTCTCCCCTGTGGGAAAAATGATAGCTCCCAATGTTTTTACAGGAATGGGGGGGAACAGAAAAAAGGTGAAAATAATTCAGAACAATGTACCAATGAGAAGTCTTTACTAGCTCTAAGCAGCATGGACACATATATTTAAATCAAGCTATTCAGTTCTTTAAGTAGTTTTGAGTTTACCTAGATATATGCAACCCTTATGCTCAGTATGATAGTAGTATGATATAAATAGTACGATATGAAATATAGTATGAAATAATTTTTCTTAATGTTCTTTCAATAAATAGCTTGAAAGTTGATCTGGATCGAGATGGAAAAATACATTTGTCAGGGTGGTGTAATCCCACCTTGGAAATTGGTTGCCAAACAAAGTAAATCAAAGAGAAACTTTTTGACGTGTAAAGAAAGATATTGGCACCAAATTGGAAACTACTGATAAGATCAAACTAATAGATATTATGGCAAATTTGGGCTAATTATGAAATAGAGAGCCAGAGGAGCCGGTTTAAAATCCAAGAAAAAGTTGTACATTTACAAAGTGTTGGTATTTTCTGAAAGTAAAGAGGTACATTAACACGAAATATATGACTATATTCTTGAAAGTACTTCACCAGCTCTTCAATTATTAATTTGATCCCATAATGGCCTTTGTATGCCATCGTCAAAATTCTGTACTTAGTAGAAGCATTTTAATACCTATACTGCATCTGGAGTGCACAATGACTACTACTAAACTCCGATCTTTTTGCAAAATATGCATTCATTGAAAGAAATACATTACTCTGGCTAACAAGATGAGTACCGTTGGTTTTACCTTCACTTTGAACATAGAATAAGTGAACTAATGGGTTCACCCCTTTACGTCACAAAAAAAGCACAGGTAATGCTGCAACAATAACCAACCGTCTAAAAATAGGCCAAATAACAATGAGCATGGATTTAGAAGCTGGTTGTTCAAAGTATTTTGTGACAAAAGTAAGCAAGAAGGTCTCAGTGTAGGACAAAACGAACAGTGGAGAAAACAGCATGAAAGGAAAGGCAATACCTCAGGAATGAGAGGGAGTTACAAAAAGCAGATGGACAGTTCTTCTGTTACAACACATTTAAGTGTTACTATTGCCTCTGCGATGAGTTTTCTTCCTGTAGCCCCAGAAAAATACCCATGACCGATCACATTTCTCCCGTCACTAATGCCTTTTGAGGTGATTCATTTGCAGCCAGTTTCAGGGGCACTCAGTGTTGTTTGGAGCACTAAGTACAGTAAGTGTTTCCTTTCCTTTTTTGACCTCTGCCAGCCTTTCCCTGGATGCTGAAATTTCCCTCTGGATCATTAATCAGTTTTTCTTGATGAAAAACACAATTACGAGTTATTTTTTGGTTTACAATGCCTTGATAGATCGTTCTCGCATTGTACCAGCATCCCGTTTAATTATTTTGCAATTGTGATATCAAGACATCTTGGGATCACCCCTCAAGGTGTATTAATCCAAACACACACAAACACAAGCATTTGATTGGCTGCCTTGGGGTCATTTCAGAGTCACACACAATCCTGCTGTGTTTAAGCGGTCACCACGGCAACTAATTAGCCTGTCAATAACGTCAACGATGAGGTTCCAGGGACGACATCCAACCAAACTCAATTAATCACAGACTAATTGGGGCCATCTCGATCAATTGGCTCATCATCTGAGAGCTTCAGTCAAAGTCACGCACGCACATTGTCACACCACACACACACACACACCCACCACCCACCCACCCACCCACCCACCCACCCACCACACCACACACACACACACACACACACACACACACACACACACACACACACACACACACACACACACACACACACACACCACACACACACACACACACACACACACACACACACCACACACACACACACACACACACACACACACACACACACACACACACACACACACACACACACACACACACCTTGTGGCCATAATCAATCAAACCAGTTTAGTAAGGAGATGGAGAAGTTGAATGATAAACACGATTCAAGGGAGGAAAAAGCAGTAGAGACTAGACAGTAAATGGAGGAATACAGGCGTGAAGAGGACGCGCACATCTGTGTGTTCACAGCAGCGATGTTTGGAGAGGTTTATTTGCACCCTGGAGTATTTGACCCTTTAATTTAGTTCATTTTGCCAAGTGTGAGTGGTGTCAATCAAACCGCCGCTGAGGCTCCTAGCAGGGGGGTTCATATTGTGGGGCTCCTCCGAGGGGACGAGGTTTGATAGGAGTGAGAACGTGATCTGCACCGTCAATACTACATGACCCCCATAACGCAAGGGGTTTATGTGCACAGGCAGACAGGTGTTGACATCTAAATGCCAGTTGTATATCATGGTTTAAAAAGCCAAGTATAAAAGAAAGGAGAAAGTACACTTCGCCCAATAAATGCTACTCAGATGTCTGGGTTATTTACCACTTATAGATGTCGAAAAACAAGAAATGTGAATTTATTCAGAGCAAGTCATGTGACCAAATGTATCATGTTTTTGGTTTATCTTCTTTTTTTAATCATGACCTTGCCTAAAGAAACAGTGAAAAACTCAAAATCCTCTGATACGGATCATCAGTGTAAACATGTTTTTACTTTTATTGGGAGATTTATTTTGCACAGATATTTTCTCCCAAAAATATTATTTTGTGTAAAAAAAGCAACAAGTATTTAAATAAAATGTGCTTATTATAGCAAGTACAATTGTTGGTTTGTCATTTACCTGTTAGAAGTGACACAATTTATGGAAAATAAATGTTTGCAACTCAAAATAAATACCAAGTTTGGCATCAATTACAAATTCCCTTAAAAGTCAGACTTTGGTTAGTGTTCATTTTCAACTTTTAAGCTTAGTTTTTGCGAATTAATATTTATTTTTTCAATGCAATTATATGTCACAAAATAAATAGACAACAAACGTAGTTGTTTTACTGGCAATGTGTGATATGAGAGAGGAAAAAAGAAGGGGAAAAAGGACGCAAGAAACTGAGGGAAGAGAAAATACGTGAAAGAAAAAAAAATGGAGGTGAATAGGAGACAAGATGGCATTCTTTCATCAAACTACAAATGTGCCCTTGAAAAACGTAAGACATGCAGCAGACAGAATGAATATCAAATAAGGTAGTACCCACATTGTAATTAAAACAACATTGTGCATGTTGTCCTTTATTAGTAGCACTCTACCTCTATCAGTGACCCATTCAGGACTCTGCTCATGAATACACGTTATTTGAATCAGAGCGCTTTCATCATCTGGTTTGAATTGCTAAACACTGAATGTGGTTTTGAAGGAGCTCTTTGATAGCCTCATGAAACACACAGGTAACTTTTAAATGGTAATAGGTCAGAGACTCACTTTACTGTAGACTGCAGCTCATAAATCATAATGAGGCAAGAAATAAAGTGACACCTTTTCTGTTAAGATGAATGCATGTTTCCTGTTTGAATCTTCAGAAATTGCATTTAAATAAAACGCAATGCCAACGCAAAGAAATCCATACAAGCTATGGTTCGCCACCTGGCTTTAAGGCAGAAACATTTCTTAAGAGCAGTTTATCTCTTTGGGGTTTCTAGTCACATATTTCAAATGTGATTGATATATTTTATAATTTAGTGTGTCATAGTATTAACTGCTCACATTGCAAATAGAAAAATAAAGGAAATACAGCGTTGGGGGACAAGGTAATATTAAACCCTTACATTTACCACAGAGAAATTATAATATTATCTGAGATAAGACTGGTAAATGAATTACTTTATTA